GCCACCACCTCTGGCATATGGGGCCAGCACCCTACTCCTTTGAGCCACAGGCACCGCCCTTGATTTTTCTTTTTCTTTTTTTTTTTTTTCTGATTTGCTTGAGTTCTTGTAGATTCTCATTATTCTGTTGTCAGTTATATAGCAGGCAAATATTTTCTCCCATTCTGTAGGTTTTCCTTGGCTGTGCAGAAGTTTGTAGTTTGATTAGGTCCCATTTATTTATGTTCGTTATTGCTATAAATGCTTTTGGAGTCTTGCACAGCCACATGTGGAAGACTGAAATAGAATCTGCACCTCTTACCACTCACAAAAATTAATTCATGATGGATAACAGACTTAAGCCTCAGGCATGAAACTATAATAATTATGGAAGAAAACTCTTGGAAACACTCTTAAAGATTTTAGCCTAGGCAAATAATTTATGTTTTGTTTTGTTTTGGAATCGGATGTTCTGAGCAGTATCAAATGCTCATTTGTTAAATGATTCAAAAAAGAAGGAACCATACAATATTTTAAAAATTGTGTCCAAAAGAGTAAACATGTAAAAAGTATCTTAACAAAACATGAGTTGAAATGACAAGTACACTCAGTACTGAGATCCACAGCATCATTTTGAATATTATTCTGTGGCATTAGGCTGCTGGCTTCTCCTCATCCTCTGGTCTGAAATTGGATTCTTATTATTTATGGCTATGTGTAGTGTTCTATTTGTAATTTTCCTTATAGTACAGGTGAAAAAGGTACTGTTAACTTTGCAGTTATGTGGGAGTCAGGTTTATAGTGTAGTACAGGCTAGGCATTTCTGGAGGGCTTGTTGACCAGAGTCCAAGTTCCTTATACCCTTGAGGCCACCAATAGCCTGGTGGTCTACACAGGATGTCTCTCACCCAGCAGGCTCAGGACTAAAATTCTGAGGTTCCTTTTGACCAGAGTCCAGGATCCTGCATTCCTCTTTCAGGTGCCATAAATGGCCCAATTATTACCTGGTGGCTGAGAACAGAATGCCTACCAACTAAAGATTATTATTGCTTGAGTTCTGCACAGGCATAGATAGAAATCACAGAAGTGAGTTAGGCAGGTTTATCTCCAATTTGTAAAGTGTATATTGTAATTACATGGTGTGCCTGCATGATTTTTTACTTTGTTTGCCTTCTTGAGGCACGTTGCTTTGAATAACTCGAATTAAGTTTTTACATTATGTTGTGAATGTGATTTATGAATTTGATTGAATATAGATAGCAAAATGGACCAGTGCTGTACTTTCTGGCTGCACTTGAGACGCTGCTAGTTATAGTGTATGCCTCTGACAGGCTCCCATTGGTTATTTCACCTGAGATAAATGAATCTGAATTTTTCTTGCATTAACTGCCCTTAGTGCAGCTCCTGGCAAAAGTTGTGGGGATCCAGGCCCCCACACAGTTACAGATCACTGAATATTTCATAATTAAATTTTTATGATTGTGTTAAGGCAAATCTTACAGTAATGCTTTTAAAGTGTCAGAAATAGTTACATTGACAAACATTTTCTTAGTCAATCCTGAACTGATCATGATTTGTGATTCTGCATTTTCATGTAGGCTTCAATGTGGTTGTTCTCGAATTGCTAGCATTTCTTTTTTCAAACTTCTCAAGTTGAAGCTATTCTAAATTGGAAGGATGTCTTTTGACAGCTTCCTTGCTCAGTATTTTTCCATTATCCATCCCTATGAAACACTAAGATAAACTACTTGGAATTTGATAATTTCATCAAATGTATTCATTATTGGGGCAGTAATAACATTTACATGCCTCCCTTTATTGCTTGCAATAAAAAATGTATCTTTTGGAAAGGATTATATGTCAGAATGTATGAGGTGGAACTGTTTCATATGGAAATGATAGGATAGGGAATTATGATTATGACATTAAAACTTCAAAAAGCAGATTGCCGGGCATGGTAGCTCATGCCTGTAAGCCTAGCATTCTGGGAGGCCAAGTCAAAAGGATTGCTTGAACTCAAGAGTTTAAAATCATTGTGAGCAAGAGTGAGACCCCATCTCTACTAAAAAGTAGCCGAGCATTGTAGCAGGCACCTGTTTGTAGTCCTACCTACTGGAGAGGCTGAGGCAAGAGAATCACTTGAGCCCAAGAGTTTGAGGTTGCTGTGAGCTGTGATGCCATGCCATCATACTCTACTGAGGGTGACAAAGTGAGACTCTTGTCAAAAAAAAAAAAAAATAACAAAAAGTAGAAGATCGCAGTGATGGTGTTACTTTGTCTTAAAATGGATAGTGAAAGTGTTCAAGAACAGGACTTTGTGTGAAGTGCACATTACTGTGATAACATGAAGTCAATGAAATGATGACATAGACATATAATAAAAGGAGAAAAAAATAGCATGGGCTTTGTGAAATCAGATTGTAACCTTCATGATATATTCAAATAAATATCTTTTTGTGTTTCTGTCCTTTTACATGTTTACATACATATTGTGTGAACAAATATTTTTTAACGGCAATGAGTAATTGGTGGCATTTTCCCCATTTTATCCTTCTATACATTTTTTAAAAATTTTAATTGTTATGGATACACAGTAATTGTACATATCTCAGTAAACATCAGCTTTACCAAAGCAGTGAATTATGTGCAATAAAATTTGACAAATTATTAATATTAATCATTTATCTATAAAGATTTCAAATAAGATTGGTCTATGTCATGTCACAGACATAGGAATAGGACTGTGGAAGTCATATTCAAAACAAAAAATTATCTAGATGTTGGAATACAAATTAATGAATGTGGTCAGCTGCTGTAATCAGTGCACACAGTACTTTGTTAGGCATAAGTCCAATAAGAATCCAACAATTCTGGGTGGCACCTGTGGCTCAATGAGTCGGGCGCCGGCCTCATATACAGAGGGTGGATGGTTCAAACCTGGCCCCAGCCAAACTGCAAAAAAAAAAAAA